GCATCGATTAGCTTGGGACCGCAGAGAGTACCAGAGCTGAGCCAAAAAGTTGAACACGTTTCTTCGGGACCTTCTGGTCTTAGAGTTACTTCTATGGTACAGTGTTGCCAGTAAATTCAAAGATTATGAAAATTTCTAATGATGGGTGCCAAACTGTGTCCATGCGAATACCCAGGTGTGCCCAACTGTGTTTTTCGCACACTATGCGGAATGACCAGCCCTTTGAAACAGATACAATTCAGTGAAAATCGAATATTGTGGATCGCATCTTTTTCGCTTAACATTTATTTTTTTTTTTCCTGCTGGTTCCAAACGTAAACAACCCCTGTACACTGAACCAATTTGACATATTCTTGTTATGTGGGAATCTAATAAATTTGCGCTATAAGATAATCCATTGAAAATGATATGATTGAAAATGTGTCAGGTAAATTCTATATGAATATCTGATACATTTACAATGCTGATAATTTGGTAACTTTTATATGATCGTCATATGATAAATGAAAATCAGTTAAATTATAATAATTAACTGAAATGGATTTGAAACCCATAAGCATAAGCTTTACGTTTCACCACAATATAATATATGTGTCATAAATCAATCGAAGTAAAGTTTATGTGAAAATCACATGAAATTTACTTCTTCTTTTGACACATATATTTAATCGATTTCTAAAAATAAATCGAAAAATAAACATCAGGCAGTGGGAGCTTTCACAGTTGTGTCTTTTTTTTATTGTAGCTGATTTGGGATTCGATCAAGAACTGTTGAGGTGTGATGCTTTCGGTTTCTGCGCTCGATTCCACTGGGACACGGCTGACTTCAAGGTTGAGCTCGTTCAATTAGCATGAAATAAGAACAGCTCTCCCGACATGGAATGTAGTGCAACTTTATGCTCGTTTTGCTAGAGTGAAGACAAATAGCACTGACAAATTTATGTTCCGTTTCGGTGGTGTCGTTTGTTCAAATCTTTCTTAATGCGCCTGTGTGCAATAAATCAACGACTAAATTATATAAGTTGATGTAACTGGTTCATGAAGTTCGAGTACTAGGGCTGGAATCTGAATTAGCCGTGTAGAAGGCTTACAATTAGAATCGCAGCAAAGTAAATATTGCAGTAGAATAATTTTTTTTTCAATCTCAATACATTCTTTTCCGGAACCCCTTATCTTATGAAACAATAACAAACAAAGATTATTCAATACAGTATCATTGTTGTTAGCAATATTTACAATATCAACTAATCATTTTAATGAGTGTACGATAACATCGTTGAAAATTGTTTCAATAATTTATGAAGAGCAATCATGTAAGATGTATTTTATTTTGAGCGATATTCATCCCAGAAAAACATGCCAAAACAAATGTTTGCTGTTGGATTTCTTAAAAGGCAAATCTATATGACTATATAATGATTGGGATAAATCTGTTTACAATCTTTAAACCTCAAAAATCAAAGGAAGCTATTCCAATGAGATATGAGATATACATGTTTTCCTATACTGCAAAGTTAAATGACAGTCCAATAGTTTCTACATATCTGTTTACACGCGACATATCAACAAACTTCAAAAATCGTTAAAAGCAATTCAATAAAATATACATGATTATCTTATAAGATATATCTTTTAGTGAGCAATATTCATCATGAAAACAGGTATATTGTACTGTATTTTCTCATAATGCAAACTTATATGATTTTCCATTAGTTTCTAGATGTCTGTTCCCACATATATCAACATGACATATCAACAATTTTTCACCATGAAATATATCAGACAATATTCATATACTTTTTACCTATCGCTAACCACGTTCGAAGCAAAGTATTATCAAGTACAAAGTATGTGAAATTACGATAGAAATCATTCCATATCGCAGTCATAGTTTTAAAGTGATAATACAATGGAATCTATCAATCATCACGTAGAATGAATAAATCTGCTGACATTGCTGTGTTATAAGATGGATCCAGTAAACGGTACATGTCGATTTGTTTCAGTGTAGGTTTCTTATCGCTTGTTTACGTTTGGAACCAGTTATGCGAGGTAGGCGACGATTGTACGTATTTGACAGCCACCTCCCCCCCTTGTTTTTTTTTCACGCATGCAGCTGCTAAGCGAAAAGTTGACATTCCGAGAAAGAGCGTATCTGTTAGATGTTCACTTCACCAGAGGTGTAAACTGCTTGATTCAACTGTGAACTGCGAAAAGAGCAAATTGACAAATGTTCCACAACCATTTGTTCACAACCTTTTTCGCTAGGGAAATGTCATGATTGTTCACTTGTTTCAAGTTTCACTTTGCTTCAAACTGTGTACTACCATAGAGGTACTACACTTTAACCTCAATAAGACTCTATTCTCTTGAAAAATCCAATTATTGTTCCATGGAAAAGTCAAGTGGTAGGAAACGTCATTTTAAACTGCTAGAATGATATGATCAATTAACCACTTCGCTCGAATGAACTTAAAATGACGCTCATTACCACTCGAACTTCGAAATAAAACAATATTTTGAGATTTTTTCTTCATAAAAAAAATAGCAATTTGAGCAATTTTGCGAAATCGCTGGTAGAAAGTCACGCCAAAACTGCTTGACAAAGTGGTCCATTCATTTATTTTGAAGACTCAATCGCGCTAGCTTTAGGAGCCGATATTTCATTGATCGTAGCTTAACAAGAATAACTTACGGATTACTCGCAGGTTGACTCAAGGTTTTTTTTTTAATAATTCGTTTATTTTTCCAGGCTTATTTGCTGTAGCTTTGCGGAGCCGATATTCATTGTTTAGATAACAAAATTACTTAAAACTAACGTTAGTAAAGCGGGGGCCGATTACGGCTATCTCGAGGTTAGGGGTAACAAATTGTAACAAATGGATGGCAGGGTAGGGATTGTGAACACAAGGTTTGGAGAGCAATGTGCTCTTGATTTCGAACTAGGCGACACTCTGATGAAAAAGACAAACATGGGGGTACACCGATGGGCAGCTAACAACTTGAGGGAACACAAGATGACACTAACTACTAAATCCTCAAATCTATCCGTTTTAAAAAAAAACATAAATTAAATTCAAATAGTCGAGGTCTCGGCTCGCCAAGACATCTCTAACGGGTATCGCGGGTTGTTTTCTTCGGGCCCTGAGGGATGTAGATAACTCAGATGTGGCAACACGGTGTAAGGTACATGACTAAACAACATGCTCGATATCGTGATAACCACTGCCACACGCACATAAATTGCTGCCTGAGAGCCCCATTCGATAGAAGTGCGAGTCGAACGAGCAGTGATTGGACATAAGCCTTGATATAACGCGTATAAAGTCGCGGCTCATGTCCAACCCTTTGAACCATGGTTTTTACGACACCTGTGGGAGAATAGAATGTAACCATCTTCCCAATTCACCATCATTCCATTTTTGTTGCCAACTGATGAGGACTTGCTGACGAGCAATGGAGAAAAATTCGTTGAAGGCGATTTGTCGCTCAAAAATATCGCCTTCCATAGCGCCCACCTTAGCCAACGAGTCCGCTTTCTCATTACCCGGAATTGAGCAATGAGATGGGACCCAAGCTAAGGTGATAGTATAGGAGCAGTTAGATAAAGCACTCAGTTTAGTTCGTATTTCAGGCAGGAAATACGAGGAGTGCTTCATCGGCCTCATTGAACGAATAGCCTCCAATGAGCTAAGACTATCCGTAAAAATGAAATAATGGTCAGAAGGTAGTGAGGCAATTCGCTCTACTGCGTAAAATATAGCTGCGAGTTCCGCAACGTATACGGAGCATGGTTTCTGCAGTTTATAGGAGGCGCTATGAAATTGATTAAATACACCAAATCCAGTGGAAGCATTTATGGTTGACCCATCTGTGAAAAATCTTTTATGGTTACTTACATGGTGGTACTTGATTGCAAAAATTGAGGGAACAACCATCGACCGATGGTGATCTGGTATTCCATGGATTTCTTGCATCATGGTCAGATCAAAATTTGCAGAGGAACTATAGAAGACTTGAAAGCAATCACGATTGGAGATTAATGAAGAAGGACCAACCTCCAGCGTCATGTACTCATAGTACAAACTCATCAATCTTGTTTGAGGATTTCGGTCGAGCAGCTTCTCAAAGTGTTCTATTACCAAAGGATTCAATACTTCACAACGGATGAGAAACCGGAAAGACAGCTCAGCGAAACGATCTGTCAGTGGGAGAACACCCGCGAGTACTTCGAGGCTCATCGTATGATTCGAGTGCATACAGCCTAGCGCAATACGAAGGCCACGGTATTGAATCCGTTGCAGCTTAAGGATGTGTGTTTTTGCTGCGGATTGGAAGCAAAAGCTGCCGTACTCTAAAACCGAAAGGATGGTTGTTCGGTACAACCTGATCAGATCTTCCGGGTGTGCTCCCCACCAAGTTCCGGTAATTGTACGAAGAAAATTAATCCTTTGCTGGTATTTTTGTTTCAGATACGCAATATGTTTTCCCCCACGTGCTTTTAGAATCGAACCAGACACTTAAATAATTGAAAGATATACTTTGAGCGATTGTTCTACCCTTTAGTTGAAGCTGTAACTGTGCAGGATGATGCTTCCTAGAAAAAAACAACCAACTCAGTTTTCTCCGGAGAGAATTCGATACCCAGCTTCATAGCCCAAGTAGACAAATTGTCTAAAGTATCTTGCAATGGTCCTTGCAGGTCCGGTGCACTTGGCCCTATAACGGACACAACGCCGTCATCTGCAAGCTGCCTTAGCGAGCAATTTTCATCAAGACAACCATCAATGTCTTTTACATAAAAATTATAAAGAAGGGGGCATGAACATGAGCCCTGGGGGGACCCATGTAACTTTTAACTCAAGGTTAGCAAGGGTAAGATTTTGTGGGGAGATTAAGGTTAGATTTAATTATCGTCCCTAACCGGGCACACTTTAATAATATCTGAACAATAATATAAACATAGATAACCCATGGCCTATGCTGTCTTCCACTTGCAGACGATGAATCCGGAGAGAAAACGGTATCCGTTCTGCTCAGCGGTGAGGAATCCGAATTGACATTCATCGATCACAGCTACATGGAGATGTCGGTAAGTACCTACTTGAACATTTCAACTACATTCGAACACTATGTGTAACTCGAAACTCTATCGACCTACAGCCTGAAAACTGCATGTCCTCGTACAATCCACACGGATACTGCGTAATCTACTCGTCGGCGGATCGAACCAGCTTCCTGATCGCCGAACAGGTCCTCCAGATCCTGTGGACAACGGAGAACATTGCCCAAAAGGCGGTGATCCTGGTGGCGAACAAGGCCGACCTGGCCCGAAGTCGGATGGTCACCTCCGATGGTGGGTAGAACTAATCAATGAATCTATCATTTCTATCCTTCACACCTGTTAATTCGCGTTTCCGCAGAGGGCAAGCAGATGGCAACGCAATACGACTGTAAATTTATCGAAACGTCCGTCGGAATCAATCACAACGTGGATGAATTGCTGGTGGGTCTGCTCTCGCAAATTCGACTGAAGCTGGAGAACCCGGAAAAGTCTCGGTAGGTGTCTCACTAACTTCTCGTTGCCTAACCGAATCCGGTCTAAGCTTTTCCTTCCCCCCACAGGGACCTCTTCCGCAAGCGATCGATTCGCAAGTCCAAACGACGTGCCTGTTCACCGCTGGGCGGTGGCATCTGCCTATCGGGCATGGGCGGCGGGACCAATCCGAGCACCCCGGTTTCCGGAACACCGGTCGCCGGCGGAGGCTTCGTCGAAACTCCACCCGGCAGTGCCCACAGCAGTCCCCGCAAGTACCGTGGCTCCCGAACTTCGGCCAGTCTGAAGGTGAAGGGACTGCTCGGCCGGGTCTGGGCCCGCGATTCCAAATCCAAGAGCTGTGAAAATCTGCACGTACTGTAAGTTGAGTCGGATCAAGAGAGTTCCATCGTGCGTCATTCTAAAACTACAAGTACTACTACTCGAATACGGGAAAACTGTTTAAAATGTAAAATGTAGGTCCTTAGAAATTCAGTTCGCGGAACGATATTTTACTCTTCATAGCGTTAAACAATGCAAAACTGTCAGTCCTCGAAAGTCGAATGCACATTTATTTTTTAGGTGTACGTGGAACACAGAAAATACAGAAATCGGTTTCCTCAGTCAGACACAAATTAGAAATTAAGTTGCAATCCCAACAAACATTGAATGCTGCATAAGAGCTTCTTCAGCTAAAAAATGGCTTGTTCAGCTTTTAATCAGCTCAAGTAGCTTGTTGGGATATTTTATAAACAACCAAAAGTGTGGTATGATGTTCAAAATTATTATGATTAATCGGTATTAGAATGTGACAAAAATTTAAATGATCCCTTCGGGGGCGTACAAGTGAGTCAACGAGCAAATTTTACCACGCGACTTTTTGACTGTAGGTTAAGTTATTAGCTATTATTTTTAGATGATTTACTCCCATTTTGTATTCCTTCGTTTTGAAATTCCTTCTAAGTCGTAATTTTAGTTCTTAGCGTTTAGAAATCTTTATCGATGTGAGAAACAGCATTTAGTTTGTACCAACACCAATCGAACGACATTTCTATTCAACATATCTTTTTTCGATCGAATAAATGTCATTTCTGTTGACAATCACACATGACGTCATTTCTGTTGACAATCACACTTGACTATCGTTTTGTTTTTGATCCTCGCAACAATCAGTTTCCTGTCTTAATTTGTCCTAGTTACGAAGTGAAAACCACAGAAATCGCAAGGGTACAAAAATAGAAAACAACACCGCAAGTCATCGAAACGAATTCTTCCCAGAGAGACAGAATACCGAAGAAACTTCCTAGATCAAAAACACTGAAATATGTTACAAACAAAATCAAAATGGTAAGTGCCTTTTTCAGTTACAGTCGGAAGTTTAAGCTTTTTTTTCCTTTGTGTTTTACCAAAACGGTGGTGTATCTCAAATTCTGATGGTAAAATAAAAATAAGGTAATAACCTAACTCAGCACCAAAAATAGCCATTCGCAATTGCTAACAGATTGCTGAACGAGTGTGAAATTTTCCAAGCAAGAAACTCTGCACGTAGACTCGGAATTGGCAGCAGTAGAACGAAACCGACGAGACATTGAGAGAATGTGAAAAACGTTCTCTCTCGTGTTCACAGCCAACTACATACCCACGTAAAAACTGAACGATAACGATCAAGAGCGAGTGAGTGAGTCGTTTGCTGCGCGTTGCTATGTTTTTGTTTTATCGGTATCCTTCAAGAAACGAAACATCGAACGATTTTTCCAATTTGCTCGGCAATTGTGTACGGGATCAGATCCCAAACCGAAAGTTACCGGATCGGATCGATTCTATCAGCAAGGAGATGGAGCAAGACACGGAAATTCAACTGTAGCTGGATGCGTACAAGTCAGTGGATGTTCCGCGGCGTTTCCAGCCATAGAAAAACTGCGAGGTGTGCTACTTCCTTACTCGCGAAGGAAGCTGAAGCTGAATCGATACTGAAGATACGGAAGTTGGCGAGGATTTTAAGCAACGGACGAAGGCCACTACTTGCCTAAGTCTCGAAACACATAAAATCTTTATTGGTATTGGAACCGACTTACGCAAAGTACACTTCCCTAATAAACAAATACCATAAACAAACTCTATCACGTCGTTAAGTTTTTTTTTATTATTATTATTTTTATTAGGGTTGGAATAAGCTGCAGTCTGCCTTTCAAGATTGTAGGTTGGTTGACCAGGAAGATCAGGCTCCTCAGGAATTTCACTTCGGTACGTTAATTAAGATTCTTGAACTTGGTAGAATGCGATGGCCTTCAACAAAGGCAGATATGGCAAGCTTACCCTTGAACACAGACCTTGAATCACTTTTGCGAAAGGCTACGATGAGGAGAACAAAAATTTCTCTTTTCGCATGGTAATTCCCATTTCCCCATGAAAAGGGTCAGTGCAGTAAAGAGTGTTACGATCAAAATTTTGTCAAACAAGAATGTATGTAAATTGATTATTTTTTCATTAAATAAAATTAAAATGCATATTTTTTTTTAGCTAAGCTTCCGGTTGCCCAATTCCGTGTTGCTGGGCCTTTCATTTAACTGCTCCCATCAGATTCTGTTCAGCCACCTCGTCCACCTCGTGAAATTCAGTAAAATTCTGCGAACTTCAGGCAAATTAATAAATAAATTCTAACAAACTTCAGAAATAATTTCCATGAAGTTCTGAAATTTTGAGAACTTCATGGAAATTATTTAAACTTTCGGAGAATTCGGCGAACTTCAGGAAAATTGGAAGAATTTCACGAAAGCAAACTTCAGTAAAATTCAACGAACTGCAGGAAAATAAGTAAATAAATTCTAACAAACTTCAGTAAAATTGGGCGATTTTCAGGCAAGCTATATGAACTACAGGACAATTCTGAGAACTTCAGTGAAATTATTATTTTTTTTGGAAAATTCGGCGAACTTCAGAAAAAATCACCGAACGGCTCGGAGCTCGATGAAGCTCAATGAACTTCAGGTAATTTCGGCGATCTTAAGGGAATGTAGAGAACTCCAGGGATTTTTTTCCAAGTTCAGGAAAATTCTGCAAGGGAAGTTCTTTGACCTTCAGGAAAATTCCGAAAACTTCAGCAAAATTCTTCGAATATCAGAAAATTTCTGCAAACTTCAGCAAAATTCTGCGAACTTCCGAACAATTCTACTAAATTCAGGAAAATAAATAAATACATTCTAACAAACTTATTAAAGGGCTGTTCATAAACTACGTAGACAGTTTGGGGGGGGGGGGGTGAAAATTATCCACGGCCCATACAAATTTTAAAAAATTTGTATGGAAAATTGTCTACGCAGAGGGAGGGGGGGTCAAGAATTAAAAAAAAAACTTACGTAGTTTATGGACCAGCCCTTACTTAAGGAAAATTGTGCAAGGTAAGTTCGGGGCGATTCAAATATAATGTCCACTCTTAAGAGGGGAGGGGGAATTTGTTTCAGTACGCGTGTGTTAGGAATGGTAAAAGTTAAATTTAATTTAATTTAATTTAATAAGACTTAAAATAAATGCCCAAAGGCTTGGTAGCCATCATAACGAAGCAATGAAATTCCACATTCCGATTCCTTGGTATTTTTTACCTAGGGGATGAGTACTAAAGGGAGTTAGATTTTGATAACTCTTTACTGGGAATGACACTGATGAAGACTGCACATAGTAGTCGCAATACGTATCTGTCATGGATACCAAAATTAATTAAGAGGAATTGAACGGAAGATAACCGTTTTTGTTGTTTTAATTATTCAATTGTCAATTCAGTTTTAAACAAACAGCACCCGACCAACCATTTCGTTTGATTTCTTTAATTTTCGATACATTGATCATCAAAGACATTCATATCGATAGCGATCGTCACCATGAAGAAATGTAAAGATACTAAAAATCTAACCGTGAATCGTTTATAAAGATCTTTATCAGAATGTTGCTACCAATCGTTACCTATGTAAATATATCGATTTGTGTTGCCAGATCAAAATATCGATTTCTGTTGTCAGATCAAAACAACAATACACGGTACTGTTAGTTTTGGGATTTTTCATCTGCATAATTGCTAGTTTCGATCCCATGCCATCTAGACTGCGTCTTTAATTTCTATACTGGGGTCACATTAAAAAAATTCAGATATGTAACGAAAAATCCCAAACACGGACGCAACAATAGAGTGCAAATCGAACAAACGGCACATTGCGCATGCTTTCGGTTGATCGCTCACCATTTCACCAATGAAAGGAAGGGAGGAGAAAAGCAGCGATAATCCTGTCTGCATCGACTTGCACTGGTGTGGCCACCTTTTGAAAAACAATCGGCCTTTTTCAGGGCCACCAATTCAAAACCGGAAAGAGTTAAGACTTTAATGATCAACCTATTTGTTCCATCCACTAGTGGTCCTACGTCAAGCTTCCGCTCGCGCCCCTGGGCACGGACCCTTCTACTTTTTTTGTTGGTAGCTTAATCCTAGGAGATGAGTACTTAAGGGGGTTAGATTTTGATAAGTTCTTTAGTGGGAATGACACTGATGAAGACTGCACATTGTAGTCGAAATACGTATCTGTCATGGATACCAAAATAAATTAAGTGGAATTAAATGGAAGATAACCTTTTTTTTGCTGTTTTATTTAAGCATTCCGCTAACAACCCAATTTCATTACTTCATTATGGTATTGTGCGCTTCCTCGTGTAGCAAAGCTCTCGGACGGAGTGTACGGACAGGTACATATACATTAATCTTAGCCAGTAACTCCGGCACATCATATTCAGCAAGCAAAACTTTGGCAACGAAGGCAGCCTGCGATGCGTTTCTCCGCTCAAAAAGAGTATCCAAGCGTAGCAAACGACAGCGATCAGCATACGGTGGTAGATTAAGCGGGTCGCTCCAAGGAAGATAGCGCAATGCGTATCTGACGAATCTACATTGAACAGCTTCGAATCGTGGGGACTCCAGACAACACACGCAAACTCAAGCAATGAGCGGACCAATGAGCAGTAAAGAGCTTTAACACAAAGGATCCCGGAATTCGTTTGAGACTTTGAACATGAATCCTAGTTGACGGTTCGCTTTGTCGATTGTGGCTGAGAAGTGGCGAGTGTAAGTAAGCCTTTCATCCAACACGACGCCAAGGTCTTTTACATGATCAACACGTTGGAGTACAGTGTCAGCAACATTATAATTGAACAAAATAACATTTCTAGTTCGGTGGAAGTTAATCACACAACACTTTGAGACGCAAAGGAGCATAAAATTACGCACATACCAATCATGAAAGATCTCCAGAAGCTTTTGTAATTCTAAGCAATCAGCTTGGTTGCGAACAACAATGTAAATTTTCAGGTCATCAGCAAAAAACAATTTACCTCCGCTAGGCAGGATAAACGTTGCATCGTTCACAAATAGAGAGAAGAGCAGTGGTCCCAGTATGCTTCCCTGTGGAACTCCGGAACTGTTCGAGAAGCAGTAAGATGAGTAGTTTCCGATGCAGACAGTAACTTGCCGTCGTACGAGGTACGATCCCAGCCAACTGCAGAAGGGAGCAGAACATCCAATTTTGTCCAGTTTTGCTAGTAGAATGACGTGCACAACTTTATCA